AGAGCACAAGAGGCCTCAAGGGACTGTACAATCATTAGAAATCCCAGGATGGAAGTGGGATTGCATTTCAATGGATTTCGTGACTGGCTTACCTAAGTCAAGGTGTGGAAATGACACAATTTGGGTAGTGGTGGACAGACTTACGAAATCGACAGTGTTTATACCAATGAAAGAAACTTGGAAGATGGAGCAACTTGCTAAGGCTTACATCAAGCATGTAGTAAGGTTACATGGAGTCCCAAAAGATATTGTTTCTGACAGGGATTCCAGATTTCTCTCAAAATTCTGGAAAAGTGTTCAGGAAAATTTTGGTACCATACTTAAGATGAGTACAACATTTCACCCTGCCACAGATGGGAAAACCGAAAGAACCATCCAAACCTTGGAGGACATGTTGAGAGCTTGTGTAATAGACTTCCAGGGAAGTTGGGAAGACAGTTTGGATTTAATTGAGTTTTCCTATAATAATAGTTACCACGCAAGCATAGGAATGGCACCATTCGAGGCTTTATTTGGGAGAAAATGTAGAAGTCCAATTTGTTGGAACGACATTAGTGAAACTATGATTCTTGGGCCTCAATTGATTGAGGACACAGTCAAGCAAGTAAGGGAAATCCAATCTAAAATCCAAGCAGCTCAAGATCGCCAAAAGAGCTATGCAGACTTAAAGCGAAGAGAAGAAGAATTTGAAATCGGCGATAAGGTGTTACTAAAAGTTTCACCGATGAAAGGAGTCATGAGATTTGGGAAGAAAGGAAAGCTCATTCCAAAATACATCGGTCCATATGAAATACTACAAAGAGTAGGCAAAGTAGCTTATAGGTTAGCCTTACCTATGGAGCTTAGTAAAGTACATGACGTATTTCATGTGTCCCAATTGAGAAGGTACATCCCCGATAAATCCCATGTGCTACGACCCGAAACCATTGAGTTAGATCAAAGTTTAACCTATGAAAAAAGACCTGCCAAGATTCTTGACAGTAAAGTGCGTAGTACACGCAACAAGAACGTTAAGATTGTAAAAGTACTTTGGTCTAACCAAGAATATGAGGAAGCCACTTGGGAGGCAGAGGATGAAATGAAAAAGAAATACCCAGAGTTGTTTCAGGTATGTAGAGTTACGGGGGCATAACTCGTTTTCTTTAAGGGGGGTAGAATGCGGTAAAATTTCGCGCTTTTTCCCTATATTTCAGTTATTTTTGTGCTCCTTGCACGAATTTAAACAAGTATTTCGAGTATTTATGCTCTCAAAGAGACATAAAACAATAAAGGAGTGACAAAAAGTACAGCAATACTATACATATTAAGGAAAAAGGTTTGAATTTCGTTCCCCAAGTTTCGGGACGAAACTTTTTTTTAGCAGGGTAGACTGTAATACCCCGTATTTTTATACGCATTTTATTTAAGGTATGTATTTTATAAAGTATTTAAATAGTTGTAATTATTTTTATTAAAGTATTTTAATTAATATTATTATTAAAGGAAAGTTTATTTAATTATTTTATTTAAAAGTTGGGGTTTTATTTTTGGAAAGTTTAATTTTTAACAAGTTTTATTAGGGAAGGAATTAGGAAAAACCTAGAAGAGGGTTAGTAGAGAAGTGGTATAAATATCCCAATTATGAGGCAAATCAAACTTTGCCCAGAGTGGAAAAAACCCAAGGTAAACTTCTCTCTCTCTCTTCCTTATCTTTTTTCCTTTTTCTTTTTCCCCCTTCCCCTTAAACTTTCGGCTGCCCCCCCCCTCACCACCGCTGCCATCAGGCAGCCGCCGCCGCCAGCAGCCGGCCGCCGGTGGTGGCTGCCGCCCCTTTTTCCCCTTTTCTTTTTTTTTTCGAACCTTATATATAAAAAAAAAAATTGAAGCTTTCTTGTTTTAATTGAATCTATTCTTGGATCTAAATATAAATTATGAGTTTGGGGGTTTAATTTTGATGTTTGACAATTGTAATTGTATGAATTTTATTTTCACATTTGGTTTTTAATTAAAAATCCCCAATTTTTGAAACCCTAGGTCCTTGATTTATGAAAATTATGAAAGCATACGAGGAATTAATGTTTAGATCTTCAATTTAAGTGTTTTAAGACTAAATTACAGCAAGTTTTAATTAGAAATAAAGTGTTGGAATTTTTATGTAGAGCACTTAATATTATGTTTTTGAAGGAAATTTAAATTACCCATTAAGTTGGACTTAATTAGAGTGTTTTAAATATAATTTCAGCTTATTCAAATTATTTTAACAGGGGTTTTAGGATAGTATATATTGTTGGAAATTTGTTCAGAGTGGGTTTTAATGCTCTTTTATAATTTTAATGTGTAGGAGACTTCGAAGTGAGCAATTTTTACTAGTCGTGACGATTTTAGGATCGTATTCAAGGTACGTTCGCGTACTTAGCATATTTTGATGATGTAGAATCATGCTAGGTTTAATTTCAATCAATTACAAGTAGTATCATGCTAAGGTTTATGTATTGAATCGTGAATTATTGGTGTTGGTGATTGAATTGTGAAGCATGAATTATTTGTGATGGTTTATGGATTGGAAAATTATATTTTGGCATGATTATATGGACTACATATTTATTTATGGCATGATAGAGAACATGTTTAATTAAACTAATTGTTTAATTATGTTTGGAATATTGAAAAGAAATTTTATTATGGTTCATATAATTTTTATTGATGCTTTAAGCATGAGAAAGGAGCTATATAAGTATCTATGTACGCAAGGAATAAATTGTATGTTGGTGCCTTTGTGCACTTAAGGTGTTTTAACACCGAGGTATAGGATGGTTGGCGCTTTATGCGTTTGGTGTCTTCGACACTGAGGTAGAATTAAAAAGGGTTCAACATTAAATATTATGTGGTCACTAATTATTCAAGAATTAAATTGGTATATTTGTTTGATTGAATAATTATTATTGATTGACTTATTATGCTTTGAGAGTCATCACCAAGTCTAATAATATGTAAATAACGTAAAGTGAAAGAGATTACGCACCAAAACTCTTGGAACGTATATACCTTGAGTATGAACATATGGGGGGAGTTATGTGACTTTATATTTTGATCATAACTTCTAACGGAGTACAGGACGCTGTATATTCCTTTTTATTATGCGCTGGAATTCAGCCACCTATGTGTGGCACAGGTTTGTTGCTGGCACGGTTAGCTCCCGTGTCAGTTAACCCCAATTTATTGGGATATGATTAGTTGGAAACCCGTTCGATGCGTAATCAACGCTAAATGAATTGTTTAGTGTCTAGTTAAAGTGTCTTGTTGATTGTTGAGTGTGCTTGTAAACAGGTGCAATGGCCTAGGGTAAGTGTGTGTGATGATAGGTGAATGCATGTTTAGTGTGTTTAATTACGCTTACGTACTCAGCTTTTGTTGATTGTGTGTGTGTTGTTTGTGTCTGGCCATGTCTTTATCTTGGCCCTACGATGATCCATTTTAATGGAGAGTAGTGGGGGCAAGTAGAGATACACTTTTCAGGTTCTGAAGCATGTTCTTGACGGGGCATGAGTGAAGAGAGAATCATGCTAGCTTCTATTAGGATATGATATGTTTTATGCATTGAATATTTTATTATATTACCTTATGGACTAACCCAAAAGTTTGGTTGTATCTGTTTTGAATAAGGGCCTTAAATGGTTCCAAGTTGTAGTGGATTTTATTTGACTTTGGTTTTGTTGATTTTCAACTTTACTTTCGTTGGTTTGGTTTTTGATTGTGTTATTTAAATAGTTTTGGTTTTCAAAGTCTTCCGCTGTGTATCTTTGATAGTTGCCTTAGCCGTTTTCACGGTGGCGGTAATGTCTTGGATATTCCTAAAACGTATTTTTTAAAAAGAGTAAAGTGTGTATTTTAAAGGAAAGGAATTTCTAGGGTGTTATATATATGGTTCCAAACGGCATTATATGACCCTGATATGTATCCCTTTGGATTTCAAGACTTTTCGACACCGGGCCCTGAAACCTCCAAAATTTCTCAAAAAAGCGTAGAAATTCCAATTTTGGAATTTTTTGACTTCTTTTGAACCGTAAATAAAAATTCCAAAAAATGCTTACCATGGTCCTTAATATCTTCTGGGAGTCTAATTGGGTGTGTGGAACCATCCAATTTGCTTTTAAACGACCAATTTACCAGTTTAAAACTTGCACTGATTTCATTAATTCAAGCCTACCACGAACATGTATGACTATAAATAATTATCATATATGGTTCCAAACGTCATTATATGACCCCGAAACGTATTCCTTAGAATTTAAGAATTTTCGAAACAGGGTCTCGAAGACTTTATAAAATCTCAAAAAGCGTGGATATTAATCTTCAATATTGGAATTTTTTGACTTTTTTTTCGCCTGAAAATAAAATTTGCTAAATGTTTACCATAGTCCCTAATACCCTCTGGGAGTCCTATTGGGTAGGTGGAACCATCCAATTTGCCTTTAAATGAATAATTTACCGGTTTACAACTTACACCGATTTAATTAATTCAAGCCTACCACGAAAATTTTATGACAACAAATTATGATCATATATGGTTCTAAAACGGAATTATATGACCCCGAGATGTATCCCGTAGGATTTCAAGACTTTTCGACAGCTGGCCCTGAAACCTCCAAAATTTCTCAAAAAGCGTAGATTTACGCCTTCAATTTTGGAATTTTTTGACTTTTTTTTAGCCGGAAATAAAAATTGCAAAATGTTTACCATGGTCCCAAATACACTTTGG